CAGGAGGCGGCCGAGGGCCGCCAGACAAAGGGAACCTCCCGGCGGGGCAGCGGGGCTCGAGGACCGGAGCGGCTCGCGCGGAGGCTCCCCCGGCCGGCCGCCACCCTCCCCGGGCCCGGGGCGGGAGCACTCACCAGCTGAGCCGGAGGAGGACCCTCTGCTCCGGGGGACAACGGCAGGCTCGGGCTTGGGCGGCTGGGGCTGCGAGGGCCGGGCGGGGGCCGGGACCTGCTCCTGCGCGGGGGACGGCGTCGTGGCGGAGGAGGAGGAAGAGGACACAGCTCCCCGGGGGCTCCAGTCGGGCTGCGGCGGCTCCGGAGCAGCGGGGCGGGGCGGCTCGGCGGGGCCACCGAGGTCCAGCAGCTGTGGCGGCCGCTCCTGCGGGGCTGCGGCGGGAGCCGCGGCAGGCTTCCTCTCCATCACCTCCAGCTGCTCGTCGAAGTCTTCGTCCTCGTCTTCCTCTTCTTCCTCCTCCTCCTCCTCCTTCTCGTCGTCGAGCACGAACTGGTAGTTAAACTGTGGCTGCTGCGGCCGGGCTGGCCCGGAGGAGGAGGAGACCAGGGGCGACTGGTCCAGCTCGTCCATGGTGCCTGGAGCGGGCGGAACAATGAGTAGTGCGGCAGCGGGGGGAGGCGCGGGCTGCGCTGCCGCCGCCGCTGCGGGACCCGCACTCCACGCCCTGTGAGTCACCGCCCGGGAGGCGCGGGCGCGGCCGCCCCGCCCCGCGCCCGGAGCGGCAGTGGCACCAGCCAATGGGAGCGGGGGAGAGCAAGGAGCGGCCAATGAGAGGCGAGTTCGGGCGTGGCTCCTCATGAATATGCATCATATGGGCGGGCCCGAGAGCTAGCGGAGCGGGGCTGGGAAGTCGGGTAAAGTTCAGCGTGGAGAACACGGGAGGGGCGGCAAAGGAGACGGGGCACGGCCCGGGGCCCTCCGTCCCCCCGTGACAGACAGCCTGGGAGCGCGTGGCGTGATTCACCCCTCTCCTCTGCCAGGACTAGTGTCATTCTCCCTTTTTTTGTTGTTTTAAACAGCGGCCAGAAAGCCTCAGCGATTTCCAGAAAGAGAAGGGGATGGCGCAGGGCACCGATCCGCGCTAGCCCGGCTCCTCTCACCCTGGATGTGCCCGAAGGACCCGAGGCATCCCGGGAGCCGCCGCACTGCGGGGCAGGGAAAGGGCGAGGCGCCGTCCCGGTCCCGGTCCTGATCCTGTTCCTCGGGCATCGCGCCGATCACCGCAGGCACATCCCCCCGGGGCGGGAAGTGGAGTCAGCCAGCGCCTTCCTCCGATGGGAATGGAAGTTTTAACCAAAACATGATGCAAAAACTTTCCCGGGTCTGAAAAAAAAACCAGAGAGGAGACATTGTCAGAAGAGATAAACCTGTTTAACCACCCGTGCTAGTGTAAGGCAGACCCATGAACAGATCTCACTGTCTCTTTAGAGTATGAATTTAAATTGTGCAACTTCTGCGGGAAAGAATGGAAAGGAAAAGGAAAATGAAAGGAGAAAAATGAAAGGAAAAATGAGAAAGGAAAGGGAAGAGGGGAAAGGGAGAAGAGGAGAAAATGGAGGAAAGGAGAGAGGGAAGGGGGAAAAGGGAGGAAAGGAAAGGGGGAAAAGGAAAGAGGGAAAAAGGAAGGAAATAGGAAAAATGAAAGGAAAAGGAAGGAAAGAAAAAAATGAAAGGAAAAAGGAATAAGAGAAAGCAAAGAGGAAAGGAAAAGGGAAGAAGAAGTTTAAGAAAAGAGGAAAGGGGGAAAAAAGAAGAATAGAAAGAGGTAAGGAAAGAGGAGAGGGGCAGCAGAAGAAAAGTTGGCACCTGCCTCGTGTTAGACTCTGGTGTGGTCTCCAGCTTTCTGCTCAGAGATGGAACATTGGCCAAAGCCCTTAGGGTAACACTTAATTTAACTAAAATAGCTTCTATTTGGATGCAATTTCCACCCACACAGCTGCCTCAATAAGACCAAAAGGCCTTATAATTCTATATTTAACACTATTCCAATATTATTATGGGTTTTTAACCCACAGATGATTTACTCTCCTGTATAAAGAGATTAGTTCATGGAAACACTCAGAGCAAGCAGCTGCCAGTTCTGTGAGACACGAGAAGTTAAGGAAAAGAAGCAGCTCTCCTGGCACCTCCCTTGTGCCATGCAGGGTGCAGAGATGCAGAGATGGAATCCTCTGAGCTGTCCCACTCAGCAGTGAGTGACAGCCTGGAGCAGGAGAAGCTCCCAGGTGGGATCAGTTCAGAGCACTCCCAGGGACTGAGGGGCAGCCACATCTCACACTGCAGAGGGAAGAGCTTCGGGCTGGCAACGAGGGTTCAATCACCAGCCTCAGGCACTGGCTGAAAAATGGGATGGCAACAAGTGAATGGAGGGGCTCCAAGGGGTCCCAGCCCTGAGTCCTCTCTTGCCTTGTCATATTCTTTGCATAAACAATCTGAACCCAAATATTTGTTGCTGCTATTAGTATTGGGAAAGCCATTAAGACACCCCCTTTTCCAAATTGCAAGAGACCTTCCAGCTTCCAGTCCTAATTTTCTCAAGGCCAAGGTACAGCCTCTTACCACTTTTCCCTTTAAATTGTTATTTTCTCTCATTTTTAGTTCCTAAGAATACATTTTGCCCAGCCCTTGCTTTCCAAAGCTAAGACTGGAGGAGTTGTGCTGTCACCCTTCCCCCTGCTCCTCCAAGCAGCCATTCCCTGCACCCAATCCAGTCTCAGACCAGGCACAGGAAATTCCAGATGAGATTTTTTTTTCCCAAGAATGTACAAAGACATCAATATTCCCTATCACTAGCAGAAATTACCAAAATAAATGTGCAAAGTATTTTTATAAATACAGTGAGGGCAACATTGTAATTCAGATGGAGATAAATGTTCCCAGCAGGTGAATAAGCCCTTGACAAAATGTGAGGTTTTAGATGCCCTTCTTTGTCCCTAAAATTTTGGGTGTTCATTGACAAATCACCCATTTATCTTTTCAAGTCAGCCCGTTTTACAGTGATGTAAGGGATGCTACAGCAGCAGCAGAATGGAGGCATAGCAAATAAAATACTTTGATTGAATAAGCTCTTCATAATTTCACCAGCAAATCTACATTTTGCATCTCTTGGTTAAACAAGAAAATGGATTTTAAAAATTCCATTATAATATAACCTAAGGCAACAAAGTACCTTTAAAAATTAGTCAAATTCTGAGTATAGACAGAGTGCTGACATATTTAACTACGGGGACTTTTGGTCATCTACAAGAAGGAAAAATCTATATATAATTTGGCTGATTTTATCAGAATACTTGGAAGAGTATCTATCATCAATTAAGAACAAATGAAAGGAGTTTTTATTTAGAGACAGGAAGTGACTAAAGGTCTTGGGGGGAAACAGGAAGGGAGTTCCATATTCCCTGAGCAAGTCAAATTAACAAGCAAGAGGAAAACTTAAAAGAGCTCTGTAGTACTGAAACTATTGCAAAACACTTCAGGTTTTAGCTCTTTAGAAAACTATTTTACAATTCTGCTAGGAAGATTGACAACAAGTAGGAGTATTTTGCAGATATTCAGCAATTTATTTTACTTTAAACTTAGTGAAAACTTAGTTTTCATGAGCTGTTTTCTTATAGCAAAGTTAGGAAGGAAAGCATTCCATGAGAGAAACCCCAGTGGGGATATTTCTGAATTTCCACAACAGTGCTGCCAGTAGTGATGTACTGGTGGGATTTTGTCAGTCCACTCTGACCTTCTGCTTTATCTCACACAGAAGTAATATGATATCACAGCAGATCATGGACTAAGATAATAGTGGTGATAGGACAAATGCAGCACTGTCACCTCACAGCAGGATCCAGCAGAAAACCCCCCACATTTGGTGTCAGACAGCAATTTTAAAGGATGGATTTAAAATTGCGAGGGTGGCCGGATTTCTGTCCCTCCTTTCAAGCTTTAAGGAAAATCTCCCAGGTTTCAGACATAATGTCTTTATCTCTGGAAGGATAAAACTCTGTAATTCTTTGTTTTCAGATTATGCCAGTGCTGAATCGAGCAGATTTGCCTCACAGGTTTGTCTTCACTTGAACACCTGCTGTACTTCTTTTCAAGATCAGCAGTGGCATATTGTGACAAAATCACTGCTTAGTTTATTAATACAAATGCAGCATATGGAGGGGGAAAAGTGTGAAAACAATAGAACAAAGGGATTTCCATCTCTTGATGGTAACTGAGCCAGGCTGGGCTTTATTGCAATCTTCTGTGAGGCCTTCCTTGTCCTCTGCTATAAATAACATTTTCTTGATGATAACGTCTCTAACCTGTTATATTCTTTAGTGTTCCAGGCACTTCTTATTCTGGAATTGTTTGATTGGGATCAAACACATCCATTTCTGCAGTAAATGTCCCACTAACCATGGCAATATAAGTACTGTGATTCAGACCTGCCACACCACACCCTGTAGAACTTCCTTCAGCCAGCCAGGTGCTGAGCCCATCCAGCTTCATGAACCAGAGCAGTTTCAGGACAGCTCTAAAAGACACCAAGTGCCACCAGTGAAAAGCTGCCATTAGCTGTAGCTTTAAATTCCTACATCCAGGTAATTTCTTTTTGGTCTCTGTAAGCTATCATTCAAAGTGACCAAAGCCTTTGCATGCCATTAAAATGATGTTACAACAGTGAACAAGAACACATTTATTCATTGATAAAATTTGTAGCATTCGAAGGGAACCAAAACAACAACAATGCTCTCCAGCAAATGAGACTATGACATGAAAAACTCACCTCTCTAAAGCTGCCCAGGGATCCACTGTTAATGGGAATTTGGTCTGATTTCTCTTTTTCTTGGAAAGAACCCCTTTGGTCTTACCTAAAAGACAATACAATTAACTTTATGTCTTACTGACACCCTCAGGATTTTGTAATTCTCAGAATACATGTAATTCCCCACCTTAGGTTTAATGTTGTCAGCCCCTCACACTTTTAAGAAATACAATTAAATTATTCACTTCCCAGTTTGGCCATAATACTTCTCACTCTTGAGGAACATAAGGACCATCAGTTTAATTGGATCTAGACAAAAAAAAATCCATTCTCTATTAACAAACAGCTCGAGATAGTATCAACTACTTTTTCTAATTAATGTTCCCCCATCCTAATTTTTATTTTAAATCACCTCCACATTGTGATTCCAAGTACTGAGTTAGTGATGCCACTCACTCAGTGATGAGAACAGCAAGAATGAGCACTCTGAAATCATGGCATTTTACCTACATTATTTTAAGACTTTTTTAAAACTTAGGGATTTATTACAGTTATAATAAATTGGAATTTAAGCTGGTTTCTTTGTAAAGGGAAAAGTGTACATAATTTATATTAGAGATCAATTTTTGCTCTTTCTCAGCATTGATATTGACCCACATAGGAAAGAAACAGCCTGGTAACCAACATTCAGGGTTATTCCCTTGGCTACCAAATGTGCCCTAGGAGAAAACAAACAGATTGATGGGGGCAACATTTTCACCATTACTGTAGACAAGGCTGATGGCATCACTTTTGGAATTAAGAAACTTAACTATACAGGCAAAGTGTGCAGAGGGAGCAGCACTTTGATCTGAACTCACATTTGAAAGGAAGAGCTGCTATTTTCCAGAACTTTGCTCACTTCTTAACAACTTGTGCCTTGCAAATGCCTTTAGCAGGCTCCAGCAGCTGGAGCCTTCAGCTGGGTCATGGTGGTACTTGGGGCCACAGAGCGTTTCTGACGTCCAGGGATGGAATGTAGGGCAGCTTTGGAAACACCACCAGGACTGAGGCTTCTTTCTTAGAGTATTTAGGGAGCTCTTCCTTTTATCTGGGTCAGACAAAGATAGGACAGCTAAGAAATGTCCAACAGGACTTCCCTGTTTTCTCAGTACCACGTCCAGCTGGGCATACACTGAAGCCCTTTACCTCCCTCACCTTTCCCCAGATAAAATATTCCAGCTTTTGAACACTTTGGGTAATTTCAGTTAACTATGGCAGTGGCAGAAGATTCAAGGATATTGAACTCCTGACAGTTTTGTAGAAACCAGCAGCTGGCTAAATTAGAGAGAGCTGATGAGCTCTCCAGTGCAGAGGGAGCCAGGAGAAGCTGGTGGTTCCCCATTCCACTGGTGTATATATAAGGAGTTTTTACAAGCCTGCCTGTCATTAACGCAGATGGCAAAACCAAAAAGGAGGATGAGAGAACGACTGAAGATATTCCAGGACAGAGATGCAAACAGTGTAAGACCTGGAGCTATAGGAAACTTGAATTTGCTTGTTTTACTGGTTTGGAACTAGTTTCTGACTGGTGTAGATAGGGATCTATTTTAGGTGAGTCATGCCAGTGGTGAAGGATTACCTAAGTGCAACCACAGTGTTGGCAAGGGAATAAAAGGAATCCTGTAGGCTGAAGTCTTTCTGATATATCCTGTAAAAAGGAGCAGAAATGAGAGGAAGAGATACTGAGAAAACAGCACATGAAAAATAAGTGGCACAGGGCTACTTTAGTCTCTAAAGAAAACCAAAGTTGTTCAGATTTCTAGAGCATGATGTTTGGCAGGTATCCCTTACTCTAAACTATTTTCAGTGGTTTGGGGGTTTTTTTCAGTGCAAATATAGGTTTTACTTTTCTCATTTTATCTGGTGAAAAACTAACATATTTCAGTAAAAACTAACTACTTGAATGACATGTAACATCTGCTCAAACTATTACTTCAGCACTGGCTGTTAGCTAAGAATTACTGGATTTATTCCATCAGGTAGAATCAGGTTGCTAAACAGGGTAAGTTTTAACATATGAGCCTGGAAATAACTTGGTTATATCCTGGGGAGAAATGCCTGGGTAAATTGAAAAAAAAGACCAATCAGTTTGGCTTTAAACATACAACAGCTAGTTGTATGTTATTTGTTTCTCATTCAATTTTACTCACTTGAAGTTTTTGAAAATAAAATCAGAATTTAGAATAGCACTCTTTCTTTAAGACTTATCCAACTAAATTGATTCAACAGAACTCTTGTAAAGGACAGTTGCTTATAAGAATAAGATCATGGAATCATAAAATGATTTGGGCTGGAGGGGACCTTCAAGACCATTTGATTTTTCTCCCCTCACCCTCTTATTCCATAGGCAGGGATACCTTTCACTAGAACAAGTTGTTTCAAGACCATCCTTGAACACTTCCAGGGAAATGTAAACCATATAATCATATAATTCTTCAACTCTGCAGTGGGCTGTAAAGCCAGTCTCCCTGAGCAGTTTTTGGACCCTACACCAGCAGCAGTTTTTTACCTAGACTGGAGGAGGAGGAGCAAGGCACACAGATATGTGATCCCTTTTGGGCTGCCACTGAACACATGTCAGTTTTATTTGTTCTTTTAGCAACACTGTATTTCTTACAGTAGAACTGTTTTGTAGGTATCCTAGTAAAAAAGCAGAGACTCAAAACAAAGGCCTATTGAGTGGCATTTCAAATACATTCCTTGGATGGTGAGAAGGCAACCTTCTTGCTCCTATTAATGACATCTAAAAATTCCTCCATTTTGCTCAATAACTCGTGATCCCAGATGACATTTAGGCAGTTTCTTGATACTTCAGGCTGCTCATGTAGCTGATGTGATGGTCAAATGTACCTCTGACCACTCATGTGGTGCCTTTGCAGTACTTATGGATGTGTCATGCTTACCTTCTACTCTTGTCTCACAGAATCCTCAGATTCAGCCCACTTGGAGCCAAAGCCCCTCAGCAGATCATCACTTCCCTGGTGTTCTGCTCATCTGACCTGGTTTAGCCCTTCTTATAGCTCGGAAGTTCACACTGATGTTCAGTTGTTGCACTGAATTCTTCTTTGAAGCAACTATCCTTTCTTTTTCTTCAAGAGTATAAGAAATAGAACAATTGTAAGGCACCACAAAGGATATACTTTCTATATTAAGTAAGTGTAATATTCCATCCTGGCTTCTCCATGAGATGAGTGATAGTTATGCCTTGGGAGAATCAGCCTCTCTTCCCTCATCTGAGGATTTTTTGCCTCCTTTAAAATCCACTTCTATGACTGCTCCAGAATGCTGAACTTGTAAAAGTAATTTATGTATCCCACTATGGGATAAGAGGGGAGACAGCTGGGAGCAGACAAAAAGAGATTCCAAAATGGACCAGACCTCCAGCTGCTGACCCACAGAACAGAAAGATCAGCACTGGCACCATCACAAACCATTAACTTTAATTCCCCCAGGCTAAAACAGCCCAGGACTGGGTAATTCTTACTTCTCCATATAGCATCCATCTAAGTGCAACTAAATAAAGATAAACATATTATTCCTAAAAATAGCACGGGATGTCATCACTCATATTTTTCAGAAATAGCAAGAGCTATTTAAACTGCCTTGACAATGAAATCAGGTGCCACCATATAAATACACAGTATATGATACACTGGTTCAATTTTAGATTGTTTTATGGCAACTGGATGATATTTAAATTTTTATTGCATTCCTACTAATATGTAAGTTTTAACACATTGTGTTGGGATATTTTTTTCCTCTCTGCTTAGGAATTTTAGTTAAAATTATAGATATTCCTTCAGTCTAAGTATTTTTGCATTTATAGTTGTGTGTGGCAGATGGATGGATGGATGGATGGATGGATGGATGGATGGATGGATGGATGGATGGATGGATGGATGGATGGATATCCAAAGTGTGAACCAAAAAAGCCAAACCTATCAGACTGGCTGTTGGACACTAACTAGGTGCAGTTTACCCTCTGGAGTGCCCAGGCTCCCCAGTCAAGAAGCAAGGCTCAGTGTGTTACACAACATTGGCACGTTATGAAGTCAATTCCTCCTACACACAGTTCACAAAGCTCAATACAACAGGTGGATGAAAGACGTGTTGCGTAGGGGTGTTTTGGAAAACTGAGGCAACAACAAACCAAAGGGGTCAGTGGAAAAAGAGCAGTCAGCTTTTCCACTTCCCATTCTTGGGTAGCTGTTTTCTCTTGAATTGTTTGGGATTTGCTTGGATTTGCAAGGCAGGTCTAGAACAAGTAAGGAAAGATAGAGCTGCATTGAGAAAATCCAAGAGAGCTCAGGATAAGATGCCATAGTGCCAGGCACTGTCTGCTCTCTGCAGGCAGTGGCACACACTCCGTGAGCCCTCCTCAGCTGTAAGCTCCTAAGGCAAAGCCCCCATAATCTGCGATTGACAGAGGCAGCACCACGAGCCCGCAGCGCCGGAGGCAGCCCCTGACGCTGTGCGGGGCTATAAATACCTTCTGCCACCAGGGGCTCCTTCAAATCTTTTCCAATCAGATTTCTCCCACTGAGCAGCCACTCAGCTGGGAGCACGGCCCAGCCTGGTAACCCACACCAGCAAACTTCAGAGGAGCCTGAAGGAGCTCTGCCCATGAAATTATGGCATGACACAAAGACCAACTTCATTATCATTTGTTCATTATCATGTGTCATGTCAGCACAGGACTGCCTGGGTCTAAAATCCTCTCTGAGCCTTGGCAGCACACAGATGTGTGGGATATTTGTGTTTGTAGCTGTGTCACCCGGGGCAACATCACACGGGATTGGACAGGATAGGCGGGATTGGGCTTTGGCAATACCTGCATAAGGAGCCCACACGATTGCTGCATTTGTGTTCTCACACAGAAACTCTGGCCCTGCCACCAGCTGTGTGCTGCTCTCCCAAAAATCCTGGCTAGCTAACAGAGCCAGCATGGAGAACAGCTGGCAGCTCCTGCCCTCGTGCCTGAATAAAGCCATTTTCTCAGGCAGAGCAACCAGCACCGGAGCTGGGAGTTTTGGGGCTCCCCAGCAATGGTTACATTGGAGAGAGATGGAAATGGCAAACGGGGAAGGTGGGAAGCTGTGGATGGAAGCTGTGGATGGAAGCTGTGGATGGAAGATGTGGATGGAAGATGTGGATGGAAGATGTGCTGGTTGCTGAGCAAGCTTTGGGATGGGAGGACAAGTCAAGCAGAGTCAGCCATCAGCAGGTGGAGAAAGAAGAAAGCAGAACAAAATGGAATCTGTATCCCTGGGGTTGTGGAAAAGTAGCCTGTAGCCAGACATGAGAGGGTTAGAAGAAAAGAGTGAAATGAATCATGAGCCTAATGTACAGAAATTGTAAGAGATGAAGACAAAAGGGAAAGGGCAAGAAATCCCCTTTTCTAGCACAAAAATAGATGAGGCAAAGAAACAGTGAAAATGTAATTTTGGGTTACCTTTCTGTACTGAATGTATTAATAGTTTGATTCAGTTTTATTTGAAAAGAAGACAGAAGAAAGAAAAGGGCATAAAGCCCTCCTTACAAGCAGAAAAACCAATGAGGCAGAAGACAAAAGAAAAAAAATTCTAATTTCAGGTTCCCTTGCTGCACTGAATGTATCTACAGTTTGAGTCAGTTCTGTTATTTTAGGTATACAATTAAGTCTATATTTTCTCTACTCACCTTTTTATTCAAAATTTATTTCTGAGGACCAATTTTTCTCTCAGAGATGTGAATTAAGTGTTACTACAGTAAAATGCAGCTGCTTGTGGGCATCTGAAGGCAAGAGAAGTAAAATCTGGTGCAACTATCAAGAGACAGTTGTTACACTGCTCTCTGTATGGCCACCACTGCCTTCATAGCCTGACCCTAACCCTGACCCTAACCCTAATTCTGCTTGTTCCAGTTGTACAAAGATATCAAAATAGGAAGGTGCTACCCTGAGCCAATACTCTGAAACAGCCATGCATTCATTTATTGAATAATAACAAATTTGATTCTCTGCACTTATGAATATCACTCCAATTAAATTTCTTGTAGACTAATAATGCATCCTCAATCACTTGATTAAGCAAAAAATCCCACCCACAAATAAAAGCTGAAAAGACATTTGAATGCATAATAACAGTAATAAGCAAAACCATTACTATGATTAAACCTTTAATGTGATTAATGCTCTTTGGAAGGATTGCACCTAAAACCTTGAAAGCACAATGGAGATGGGGAGAAAAACCAAAAGTTGTTCAGACCTGGAAATGTAGTTGAAGAGATGCAGCTGCTCAGCTCAGCATTTCTATTTCTGAGTGTGTACAGGAGTGACAGCCCGGCCACAAACCCAGGGGCTGCTGGGACCAAGGGAGAAACACAAGTGAGCCAAAATAACAAGTCTGGGAAAGCAACACAAAGCCCAGCTAGCAGGGGACAAAGGACACACAAAGTTGGAGTTATCCTAACACAGTCACCAGTATTGATATAATCCCCAGGGTTTGAAGACCCATGAGGACTGATGGGAAGCCCTGCTGCAGTGGTTGGAGCTGTGGATTAGGGACCACGCTCTGGGCATGAAATCATCTCCCTCTTGGCTCTCCAGAGGGAGCTTTTCTGCACAGCTCTGCAGTGGAAGGAGAACAAACTCCTTCTAAGAATGCACAGCACAGCCTTACACATTAATGATGTTGATAAACATGTCCAAAAGATAACCCCAGAAATATGTGGAACCATGCAAAAGTGTATTTGCTTCTGGGAAAAGGGAAGCAACCTTAATTTTTACCAGCCTGGCTAAAGATTAGCTCCAGAGTTCATATTATGTATACTGTGACTAAAATCAGACAGAAGCTTCTTCAGCAATGAGCTGTTGGATGAGACTCAGCTGTATGGATGCAGGCTGCTGCAGTGGAGCCCCTCTGCTGGGCCAGGTGAGCTCAGCCCTGGCTGGCTGCATCAGGCTGCAGGTGTCCGAGTGACCCACGTGGGCTCCATGAAGAGCTCAGCAGCAGCAGGTGAGCTGCACTCCAAGCTAAGTCTGGTACACACTCCCCCTGTGACCCAGACCCACAAATTCCACCTTCCAGATGTTTCATGCAGAACCAAAAACCACCTCCCAGTGCTCTCTACTAAATCTTTCAGTCCATAGCAAAGACCAAAAGATCAGAGATTTCTTCTTTTTTTTTTTTTAATGAATGAATGAATGTAGGTCTCTTGACAGATAAACTTTATAATAATCTACCTTCAAAATGAGTTACATTCTGTTTCCTGTTACTGTCTCTAATGGACCCAGCAATCTTCCTCTGTGTATTTGAAAAAAGCAGAACCAAGCTGGGAATACTGCTATGATTCCAACTTGAGCCCCTATTCCCATTCCTTTAGTTTCTATTTGGGATGGCATGCAACACTGACACCAAAGAGATGGATTTAGTAGGACCATGCTGTGCTCTCAGGCTGACAAAGAAAGAGGCATAAAAGGGGCTTTGCAAAGTTTAAAAAAAAAACAAGAAAATGTTTTAAAGTAATTGTTTAAAAATCCTTTTCTAGAACTGTAATACTAGGTTTTGTACAAGATGCATTTTTGATAATATCTGGCCACACTGCTAAGTTTGTCTTTGAAAATAAGTGAATGTTGCCACTCCATGTATTTTTCAAAAATAAATGGAATGGGATGCACCCACAAAAAAATCTTTAACTGCATTTTTTTTTGTATTTGCAAATCCTTGTACTTGATTCTAAGCTGAAAATTCTCCTGGATAAAGTCTACACATTTCTAAGAACAAGCAGTTCAGATATTTCTATTCTAGTTACCACCATACCACAGGAACTGAAATAGCATCAATTAAAATTGTCATTGACCTCTTACAGAGCACTGATATAAGGGCCATTCTCCCCGTGTCCCAGCTGCTTTTTATACAACAGGGTATTTGATTTCCTCTGAACATTTGATAGAAAGATTAAACTGTCTAACGTTTCCAATTAAAAACAATTTGTGTTCTACAGTGGATTTAACTACTTCATTAAATCACTCATTATGGATCTCCTCACAGCCCCATTTTCAGCTCTTTCCTTCAGTCTGTAAATTTTTCAC